ACGAAAGTCAATTGTTAAGAAATGTTGTAATGATATTTAAGACAATGATACTATAGAGTAAAGAGAGGGGTATACACCCCGCGTACAACATTTTGCATACACCCCGGACACAACAATGATTTTTCGTCAATATCTTTATATACGAACTGTTTTATTTACAGACAATTTGTACAAACGTTTATATAGTAAACATGTATTTAACAATAATATAAAAGTGATGATAAAGCAAATCTTTCTTCTGATATTTGATCATAAACACAGTGTAGCGTCAATCTTGCTCCGATCCTCGGAATTGTGTTGAGGTGTTTGATAAAACTAGAAGGTTTCCAATGGATTCACAGGTATCCATATACTCCTTAGACAATGCTTTCTTCCGTAGTCATATGCTTTCTGGCGAAAAATATCTGTAAGTTGAGAAAATGGACAAAGAACCTACATTGACCCCCTTTCTTTCGCTTCGGAAGCATACACCCCGCGCACAACATAGTATACACCCCGCATGTTGGGATATACACGGTGTATTATTTCAATTCTTTATTGGCATTAGGCACATATTTTACAGAATTGTGTTGTTAAAATATTAACTAGAGCAAGTTTAATTTGTTTCTATAAAAAAGTGCATCAAACGTTTATAATGTGTGAGCACAAGCATAAAGTAGATAAGTTTTTTAAATAGTATTCTATATATATCAGCAAAATATGGTCATGTGATGTTCATAAGCAGAAAATAGGAAAACAGCATGTTTGTTTTGATGTCATTGCTTTATTTAAAAGCTTCTATCTTTTAAACTTTAAAGAATGACTGCACTTAAGCTATGAGAGTTGGAACCTTTTTGGCTACCCATTTTAAGCTTAACATTACAATATATCAATAAATTAATCTATGATTAATGTGCAAGCACATGCTTGTGATACTTATTTCTAGAATTTTTTGTCACACATATTTCTATAATAACAGAAAATGTAATTGAAAAGAACATGTAAAAGCCTTAAATTCCGGAAATTTGAACGGGACCACTTTCGAATCTAAGGTATCCGCAAATAGGCGGAGTCATTTAAACCGCATGGTTGTGGAATGTAAACATTAGCACATATGATTTTTTTTTCGCACTACGAATTTAAATGGAGAAGAGAGAGATCTTGTTGATTTTATGGTGCACAATTATGAAATGATTCTGATGATAAGGGATGGGGTAGATGTCTCGCTCTACAGACAATAATACAAAGGCGACATAAGCCTATAGATACACGTACTTACTATTGACACTGTCAATACCAGATTTCTTTCCAAACACCCCTAATGTAAAGCATAAAGTTAAATAAGAGACATATTATCTTCAAACCCTATTAAAATTTGCGCAAAAATATCCCATTGTTTGAAGTACAATATAGATACTATCACAACAGAGACTTACACACAATGAAATGTTCAATGAAAGCATAAGCGTATCGAACAGCAGAATGTCACGTGATTAAGGTGATTATCATATCAATCGTTGATGCACGGTGACCGGTTAATTTAGTAGTTGTCTCGACCCTAGTTTGTGGATATTTTTTTAAAAATTAGATATGAGCCGCAACTTGACCAACATTGTCCTTTGGATATGTATAAGTTTAAGCTAAAATACACATTCTGTGCAAATAAGAAAAATGGACAAGTTGCGGCTCGATGTAAACAGAGTCGTTGAAAACTGGTATGCATATGAATAACAATAGAAATGAGACAAAACTACTAGACCCCCGTCTCAAAAGCTGGTGTCGCTTGTTATTGTTTAATACTTTCATGTTATATAATATACCAAAACCTGCTCTTAAGATATTGTTTAATACCTATAAAACATAAATTGAATGAATTTTGGAATTTTATTTTGCGCAAAACACAGGGTTCCAACTCTCATAGCTTAAGTGCAGTCATTCTTTATTATATATATCCAAAACTACTGTACTATATGTAATGACAAAATAGATCTAGGTTAAGAATGCACTGGAAATTTGAGTTATTTTTGTTTATATAGACTCTTTCATTCATCTGTGAAGTACCTGTACTGTATAATCTATAGTTCAATTTTGTGTGAATAATAATTATCTTTTCAAATAGCAAACAGTAAAAATATATATATGTACACTTGTACATATGTATAAGTGTTAAAACAAAATTTAACTAAAGGTCCTGTGAGCATTGAGCTCACTAAATGATACCACCTGCCTCCCATATGGTTATAACTGATGACAAATCCATGTTTTACTGTGGCCGGGAAACCCAAAATATGCGTCGAATCAAAAACTAAAATAGGAGGTGCACAATGACAATATGTAATAAAGATTCTGTGAAAGGTTCATTAAATTTCACTCATTGCAGTGGTATAAGAGGAGTTGTGGATAATAAGAGATGGGTACCCTAAAGCGTAACAGACAGACGGATGTACAGACAGATGGACGTACAGTTAGACGGACATACCGATTACAGTATACCCTACCACTTTTCAAGCAGAGGGTATAATAAAACTATATACATGTACATGTAGAATATTCACCTCTGATTTATAATGATATTTGTTTTGTACACACTGACCATGTTTTATAATATTCTAAACAAATTAATTGATACTCAGGCAAATATTCACTACTGGTAAGATGATCACACACATGAACATGTCTGTGTATGAATGAAATGAATTTTCCTTTTGATCATGTTCCTAGGAAAATAATTATTTTCATCATTTTTTCATCAAAGGATTTACCTTATAAGATGAATAAAGAAAAAGTAAGACCAGTAAACCAAAACAGGACCAAATAGGCCATGACTGAAGTTCAAGTGCATTCTGCAAGAAAGCGGACAGCCTAGATTCTGTTCTTTTCAAGGTAACCATTCTTAAAATATGAAAGTAAATTAAGGGCAGATGATACAAACAAAAAATGGATGCCTGGATTGGTATATATTTTTTGGCATAATTTAATTGCAAATTAATGATGTATGAATAAATTTCTATAATATTAAGAAATTGTAAACCTTCTGTGATGTTCAAAAGTCTGCCCTCTTGAAACTATACATATTAATCTATACAAATATTTTTCACTTCAAATTCCATTTTTATGCAAATACGAATTAAAAAGTACTTGTCGTGAGGAAAGTTATTAATTTTACTGATTTAAACATGACCCAAGTTGTTATTTTCAAATTCTTTGACAAAAGTTTGTTTGTATAATCTGTCTTTAAATTGTTAAAAGATATTTCAGTTTTATATCTAAATTTAAACCTTGCTTATTTCTTTTTTTTTTTAACAAAATTTAATACCTGTCCAGTAACAGAAGAATTATTATACTAGAATAAAGAAAACAACTTTCTAAAGGATTACATACACATTTAATTAGCTTGAAATCAGTGTACTAGTATATTGGAAAGTGCAGGAATTATTTACCATTGCAGGTTGAGAAGGGATGCCATATTTTAGGTTTGAAACCAGGCAAGTGAAAGCTGAATTCCAACCTACTTCAACATACTTGTACCCACTGTCTTCAAGATATCAGTGTTTTGAGATGTCAAAGTTCAAGATATCAGTGTTTTGAGATGTCAAAGTTCAAATATAATAGGAACACGTTTATCATATTATGTGATGGCATCCTCAAATCTTATGTTGTATAACAATATGTTTTAGAACTTATCAATCTTTATCCTGTACCTTTCCAAAAAAAAACTAAACTCAGCATAATTCTCATTAACTAATTATCAGTGTTACTTGCGTATGTCAATGTAGGTCATTACTGGTACATGCCTGACCAACTAAAACTCTAAAATTGAAAAATCAGAGTCAAGATTTTCAGAGCAGCAGAAACAGTAGAATTTGTCAAGTAAATCTAATGATATGTACCATAGTTGAGAATAAATGTACTCTAAATGTTGCATATATAAAAAATAAAAAAGCAAAAAGTTCTCTTGTATTCAGAATTTATATTTACATGTGAAAAAAAGAAATTTAAAGGAGAATGATATAGTTGGTGTGATGAGATGTTGGCAGGAACCTAGTAAAATGAAAGGAAGAAATTCCTTAAAATGATACTTGTGGGGGACAGTGTCTCATGGGGGGGGGGGGGGCATTGTTTCAACTGACTTTACAGAATACAAAAGATCCATTGCAAACCTAATTATTAATTATATGCCAAACACTATGTTTAAAGTTTTCCATTGTTGGATATTTCTATTTAAATCCAAGATAACTTACCCAAGAGGATGTGATTTTTTTTTTAAACCAATGTAATTTTTCTCAAGTTTAAAGCAGTGTTTCATAAGTTTTAATGAAAAAATCAGAAGGGGGGGGGGGGGGGATTTTTGACTTCCTTCAAAGTATCTGTGGTTTGCAGTTGCCCATAAATTTAATAAATAATTATACAAAGTAACAAGTTGAAATGAGTAAAATATTATGAAAGTCCTGCTTGTTTTAGTTTTATTTCAGAATTTTTCAAGTTTGACCAAATCTTGAAAAAGTAAAAGTCACAAGGTTTTGCAATTATTTGACATAGCATTACAAAATGCATTATATTTTTGCAACATCATAAAAATGCAAATTTAAGATGCCAAAAAATTTAGTTCACATTTACATTTAACTCATTACACATGTTTTATAAAAGAGGAAATAAGTGTAGTTTTGGGAATATTGTTATGTTAAACGCAGCCATTTTGGTTAAAAATCTGGTATTCCTGTCTCCATGGTAACAAATCTTGCATTCCTGTTTCCATAGTAATAGAAAATGGATAGGGAAAATTTTATTTCATATTAGTTTCAATCTAAGGAGATAGTTTCAGGAAACTTGAAACATGCCCTGGTAAGTCTACATGTACTTCAAAATTGTCAATTTTACGGAAAGGGGGGGGGGGGCATTTTGTGCAGGTGTTCACAGTTCTCCTATCTAAGAACATATTTACATGTATTAATGCTCTTGGAAATGGGATGTGAATATTTTTACATGACACTTTTCCTAGATATGGACTAATTTTACTGTAAATGACATCAAAACAGGTAGAAAGGAACATTTCTTTTCTATATGAACTTAATGAAATGTGCATGTGTTCCTTGAAATACGGAAATTTTGCAAATTTTGGGTAATTTTTCATCAGCTTTTAAAAAAAAAAATTTAGGTGTCCCATAAATATTTTAATGTGTTTAAACTAACTTATGTACCATCTATACAATGCACTGTTTCCTGAATTTCAAATCAGTGTGCAAAGTATTAAAAAATCGCTTTGAAAAAGGGTCTAAAATGGCAATTTTCTCAATTTGGCAAAATGCCAAAATCCCCAAAGCTAAGCGTTGTTAAGCCATTATGTAGAATTACAGTTTTAAAAAATTATGTTGTTATACTAGAGAGGAATAATGGTAGTTTTGAAACAAAAGTAGATTTTCCCATTCTCTTGTTTCTTTTAAGCTCATTTTTATTCAGTAAAACCTACAAAATCACGTTTTTTGGTCAAATTTTAGGAAGAATTTTCAGGGGAAACAATAGGTGCCGTTACCATGGCAACGAGACATTTTTTGAAATAAAAAACTATAAAACCATTAATGATATGACAATGTGAGTACACACAAAAAGTTTCATAGAAATTGAAAATGTAGCGTGGCCAAGCATTTTTGATATTGTTTGATAATTACAGAGAATTGATATTAAATGGCAGAAGAGCCGTGAGTTTTTCTACTGGCACCTGAAGAGGAGGTTGTTGGAGAGGCAGCTGAAGAAGAAGATGAAGCAGTTCACACAGAACGTCGGGGAGGGGGAGCTCAACTCCATGTTACATCGTTGGTTTGTGGAGGACAGGGGCACTGTCAATGTAAGTAGATATGTCGTACCAGTCCTATTTATAGTTATTTTACAAGTAAAATTAGTGGTACAAGTAATATGAATTTCATTGACTTTTTTCATAATTTATGAATTGACATATATATTTTTGGCAGTCCAAACACTATGTTTTTTAAGAAAAAAGTACAAGAAACATATTTTGTTATAAGTAAACTTAACATTTTGAAAAGTTTGTATCATTGAACAAGTAACTTGTGTCTGTTTCCTAGAACTTGTATATTGTTGGCTTGGCATACAGTGTAGATTTTGTTAAATCATATTGCCATGCATATGTTTTATTAACACTTCTTAAATAAAAAGCTGTAGGTAAGAAAATAGCTTTGGGTAGTTGTCAATGCACTATGAGGGTTTTATGGCTGAGATTATCTCCTGACCAATCACTGATACTGTAGGCTTACCTATGGGAGGATGACAAAGCTATGGTGGAGTGGTTAACGGAACAAATCCGTGAGGACAGTATTGACAACGCTGTATCAGACAACATCAGATGTCTACAGAGAGAGCACGTCCTACAACAAGTCAGGAGGTAGGTATCAGATGTCTACAGAGGGAGCACGTCCTACAACAAGTCAGGAGGTAGGTATCAGATGTCTACAGAGGGAGCACGTCCTACAACAAGTCAGGAGGTAGGTATCAGATGTTTACAGAGAGAGCACGTCCTACAACAAGTCAGGAGGTAAGTATCAGATGTCTACAGAGGGAGCACGTCCTACAACAAGTCAGGAGGTAGGTATCGGATGTCTACAGAGGAAGCACGTCCTACAACAAGTCAGGAGGTAGGTATCAGACAATATCAGAAGTCTACAGAGGGAACACGTCCTACAACAAGTCAGGAGGTAGGTATCAGATGTCTACAGAGGGAGCATGTCCTACAACAAGTCGGGAGGTAGGTATCAGACAACATCAGATGTCTACAGAAGGAGCAAGTCCTACAACAAGTCAGGAGGTAGGTATCAGACAACATCAGATGTCTACAGAGGGAGCACGTCCTACAACAAGTCAGGAGGTAGGTATCAGATGTCTACAGAGGGAGCACATCCTACAACAAGTCAGGAGGTAGGTATCAGATGTCTACAGAGGGAGCACGTCCTACAACAAGTCAGGAGGTAGGTATCAGATGTCTACAGAGGGAGCACGTCCTACAACAAGTCAGGAGGTAGGTATTAGATGTTTACAGAGGGAGCATGTCCTACAACAAGTCAGGAGGTAGGTATCAGACAACATCAGATGTCTACAGAGGGAGCACGTCCTACAACAAGTCAGGAGGTAGGTATCAGATGTCTACAGAGGGAGCATGTTCTACAACAAGTCAGGAGGTAGGTATCAGATGTCTACAGAGGGAGCACGTCCTACAACAAGTCAGGAGGTAGGTATCAGACAACATCAGATGTCTACAGAGGGAGCACATCCTACAACAAGTCAGGAGGTAGGTATCAGATGTCTACAGAGGGAGCACATCCTACATAATTGATCATAATATATCACCTAATGGCTCAACTAGAGTTTGATAGCATTATTTTATTTTTTCATGTAGAGATGAAGAACAGCATGCTAACAATATTAGGAACCAGACTGTCTGACTGAAAGGCTTTACATGATAATATTTATATATCAGTTTAATTAACCATAATTTATTGCTTGGTTGCACAGTCTAGAAATTCTGAAAGTTGTCTTCTTCTCAGTGTGAATTAAACTTAGCTTAAATATCAGGTTTTGACATATGATTTTCAGATTGTCTCCCTTTAATTGATAAAATAATGCTCTAATCTTACTTTAAAATTTGCTACTGTTTTCAGTTTGATACAAAACAATCCAGAGGTTGCCATGGATTCCATCGTCCACATCACACAGCACATGACCTCAAGTCAAAGGTCAGAGGTCTCCAGAATTCTGGCCAACATGGACACGTGACCAGAGTGGACAATTAGAATCAACAGTGACTGTATTTAAAAACATACCTATTTAACAAATCATATGAAATCATTAGGTGCAATTTGCAATTGGATCAAATTTGCATAAAATTGCATTATATGAAATCCATATCTGTCATTCATAATGACTTAATTGTTAGAATTGTTCATGAATTAGTTTTGTAATTCAATTCAGTATTATATGTGAAACATTACCAGGGTTTGTAATTATTTTTGTACTAATTTGTACTAATTTATTATTACTCTACCTATGATTAATATCATATATAGTGCTCACCTTTAAACAAAGTTGTGTATATTCTGAATATTAATTTATTGACTGTAGAACAAATTGTCCATTTGTGTGCATTGAATTTCTGAAAATGTAATTTGATATATGGAACACAAATTTAATAATTGGATGTAAAAGTAATATTGCTTCACCTAGCCATGTGGTGAATTTTAATAAAAAGATATAAATAATTGCATTTTTTTTGTTTCCTTTCATATTTAAGGAAGAAAATGTTGTAGGAAATAACTATTTAGTTTTTTCCTCACTTAAAACAGATGGTTAATTAGAGATATACGATATAATCTTTCTGATGTCTGTACTAATATAGACAGGATATGTAACGACAATTTGTCTTTTCCATTTCATTTTAGCTACACAAATAATAAAGAGGGAATTTAAAACTTTTAGAATTAGATAAAGGCTGGTAGTATACAGTGGTAGAAGGAGGGGGCTGAACCCCCTTGTGTTCCTGAATATATTTATCTTTTGATATAGAAGTTTTCATTTTGATGCTCTGATTGGCTGCTTCACTTTTTTGTTGCCACCATCCCTTTGAAAAAAGGGGTTTTGAGTTTTAAATGTTTTGTTTCTTATTATTTTTAGCTCCACTGGTTGAAAACCAGATGAGCTTATGCGATAGTAAGGTGTCCGTCTGTCCCTCACCCAATTAAATCCGTTGTTACAGTCCTGTACAGTGATTGGTTGTTGCTACTGTCTATATTATCAACTAAGTGTTCTTTGATACAAGACTTCATCTCTTATAATACTAAGAAATACAAGAAGCAGTGAAATACAAAGTTCCAAAATGAAAACAGTAAGGTAAAATTTTATTTCGAAACATCAAAGCTTTCATTAGAATGTTGAATGTCATCTTTTAAATTCAGAAGGTAACACATAACTGCCCTACCCCCCTCCCTTTTCCATTCCCAGCGTGCAAATCCCCCACACCATGCATACACAAGAAATGCAGCCAGATTTTTACCATGCATTAGATTCCTCACTCTCTTGATCAGAACAAAAGAATGAAATCTAAGAATATAAGTGCCTCAGATGCTGAAGTCGAATTTTCTCGAACCTTGCGCAGTGAAGTAACCCTTGGACTTCCGGTCCACGGACTGTTTTTTATGTGAATGTTACCGGTACACTTAAATGACTGAATAAAAAAAATCTTAAGCTCATCCCTCTGTTGAATGAATATTGTCGAACTTCTGTACATACAGTGACTAAGGACTGTACACTTAAAGTCTGTATTCACAATTATAAACCAAGGTCGTCTTGACTCGGGCATCTGGATCCCTGCCTTAAAGGCCCCTAGGGTTGGCAAGACAGCTATTGTGTGGGGCAGGGTGTTCCACAGCTGGATGGCTGTATTGTGTGTGGCAAGGTGTTCCACAGGGGGATGGCCGTATTGTGTGTGGCAGGTTGTTCCACAGGCAGATGGCCGTATTGTGTGTGGCAGGGTGTTTCACAGGCGGATAGCCGTATTGTGTGTGGCAGGGTGTTTCACAGGCGGATGGCCGTATTGTGTGTGGCAGGGTGTTTCACAGGCGGATAGCCGTATTGTGTGTGGCAGGGTGTTCCACAGGCGGATGTCCGTATTGTGTGTGGCAGGGTGTTCCACAGGCGGATGGCTGTATTGTGTGTGGCAGGGTATTCCACAGGTGGATGGCCGTATTGTGTGTAGCAGGGTGTTCCACAGGGGGATGGCCGTATTGTGTGTGGCAGGGTGTTCCACAGGGGGATGGCTGTATTGTGTATGGCAGGGTGTTCCACAGGTGGATGGCCGTATTGTGTGTAGCAGGGTGTTCCACAGGCGGATGGCCGTATTGTGTGTAGCAGGGTGTTCCACAGGGGGATGGCCGTATTGTGTGTGGCAGGGTGTTCCACAGGGGGATGGCCGTATTGTGTGTGGCAGGGTGTTCCACAGGGGGATGGCTGTATTGTGTGTGGCAGGGTGTTCCACAGGCGGATGTCCGTATTGTGTGTGGCAGGGTGTTCCACAGGCGGATGTCTGTATTGTGTGTGGCAGGGTATTCCACAGGCGGATGGCCGTATTGTGTGTGGCAGGGTGTTCCACAGGGGGATGGCCGTATTGTGTGTGGCAGGGTGTTCCACAGGCGGATGGCCGTATTGTGTGTGGCAGGGTGTTCCACAGGGGGATGGCCGTATTGTGTATGGCAGGGTGTTCCACAGGCGGATGGCCGTATTGTGTGTGGCAGGGTGTTCCACAGGTGGATGGCCGTATTGTGTGTGGCAGGGTGTTCCACAGGGGGATGGCTGTATTGTGTATGGCAGGGTGTTCCACAGGGGGATGGCCGTATTGTGTGTGGCAGGGTATTCCACAGGCGGGTCTTGATCCGGGAGTGCTGCACACGATGAATCTAGATCTCATGAAATATACAGTACAAAATAAAACATTTAACTAGTTTACTCAGATTGTTGATTTATGTTGTTGTTCTGTATTATAATAATAATTTGGCGGTACATGTATTAAAACATGCATTACCGGTAAAATAAATACCCTCTCTTCTGTTTTGCAGGCTGTTTGGGCGGGCTTGGGTCATGCTTCAGAGAATCCAAAGTTACCAGTACTTCTCCATAAAAACGGAAACATATTTATTGGTAAAGTTAATAAATTTTAAGACACTCTCTCAGGTATCAATGTTTGTAGACACTTTATCTATTTTGCAGAAATAATTTAAAAATATATTTTATAAAGAAAAACTTCTTTTTACTAACCGATAAGGTCATATCTGTATGAGGCATTATCTTGGTGTAGCCTGTTTCACATAAGGTTATCTGCTCTTGTTTTTTGAACAGGTCCACCAGAGGGAGCTATGTGGGCCCTGGGGGACAAGATTGCCTCCTCCATTGTAGCCCAGACAGCAAAAGTCCCCACCATGCCATGGAGTGGATCAGGTATTTTATAAAATTTATCAGTGTTCACTGTTGATTTTATTACAAATAAATAATTAATGGGAAAACAAAATCATTTTCTAAAGGCAGTATAAAAAATGTAAGTTTATTGAAATATATTTAACATAATTCTGAAAAATCATTACATGTATTTCTCTTTGTCATGATATTAAAGGATTCATGTCATTCATAAAATGATAAATATTGAAGCACAGCATGTCAATGTTCATCTCTTCAATCACAAAAACAAACTCCATGAAACAGTCTTTCTTCCCTAAGCCATAAAAATTGGACCCCATAAAGATAACTTAACTGAACATTTTCATTCCAGGCTTGACCCTGAACTACTCTTAGAGTGACAATAAGCCTGTGAATGTGCCCCAGGACCTCTACAGGAAGGGGTGTGTCACCGACGTGGACGAGGGTCTGAAATCGGCCAATAAGATCGGGTTTCCTGTCATGATCAAAGCCTCGGAGGGAGGTGGAGGGAAGGGCATCAGGAAGGCAGAGAATGCTGACGACTTCCCTAATCTCTTCAGACAGGTATGGAATTGAAAGAAATTTTGGTCTTAAAGTGTAAAGACATATAAAATGGCCAAAATTTTTGTGCAAAGATAAAGAGAGATACCAAATATTAAGTGGTAATTATAATGAGATGCACATTTATAGGGTTTATTCCACAAAAAAATGGTGTAAATATATTTTTAGTAAGAGAGAGTTTTAGTAGTATTATAATGTAAAGAGATATAGCGATAACGTCTAGAAAGAATGATTTGTTAGCCTATGGATATTAAATATTAGCCATCTCGGAACCCTCAATGGAAATGCTAAATTGAATTCTCAATTTTAATAATTCTGCTTATATAGAAAATCAGAAATACGCACATTTTGTTTCCAACAGAATTTACAATTTTGAGTTTCAATTCTAATCTTTTATCAGCAAGTTCTTAATTTATGATTGATTTAAAAGAGGAATCCTGTGTTCTATATATAGGTTCAGGCTGAGGTTCCGGGATCCCCCATCTTCATCATGAAGCTGGCGACCCACGCGCGTCACCTGGAGGTCCAGATCCTGGCCGATAACTACGGTAACGCCATCTCCCTGTTTGGGAGGGACTGCTCCATCCAGAGGAGGCATCAAAAGATCATTGAGGAGGCGCCTGCCTCTATAGCCAAACCAGAGGTGTTCGAAAAGATGGAACAGGTAGGTTAGAGCTTGGGGGTTACTGTGGTAAAAGTCTGTTTAACTATAAACTATTTCAAGACTTTGTGTGTAAAGCAAACTAAAGTATTCTTCCTCACAGCAAAGAGAAGACTTCTTTTTAAGTATTTTCAAAATACAGTCAAACTTTAATACCAATATTACGAAATATCAATATGTCAAAGTGATTTAAAAGTCTACATCAAGCACTAATTCTTAAAAATATTTCACCCCTGTATCTCACATCCTTATGTACTCTTACATTATATCTCAATCCACTTGAGTTTGAGATAGCAAAGGCCGACAGTCAATGATCTCTAAGACATTGAGCAAGAGAAAAATCATTGCCTGAGAAATTAACATTATAGCTATTAATCAGTGTATCATATTATCTCTCCAGGCTGCGGTGACTCTGGCTAAGATGGTGCGGTACGTCAGTGCCGGTACGGTGGAGTACCTAGTATATAACGAGGAGACGGAGACGTTCCACTTCCTGGAACTCAATCCACGTCTACAGGTGGAACATCCGTGTACAGAGATGGTGGCAGACATTAACTTACCGGCCGCACAGTTACAGGTACAGGGAAAAAAAATGTAGGATAGATTGTTGTCAGGATTGCTGATTTTTATCTCTACTGGTCAGAAACCAAAAGAGCTTATGCAATAGTAATGCATCCGGCATATCCGTCCGTCTGTCAGTCTCTGTCTGTCTGTAAACAATTTTTCAAAATGCTACTCCTCCTACAGTTTTGGTCTGATTTCAATATAACTTGGCACACAAGTAGACTATACTAAGTTACATAATTCTATTCATCAGTTTTTGATTTCAATTAATGGTGTTGCCGTGGTTACTAAAAAAATTCTGTGTATCAGTTTTTGATTTCAATCAACGGTGTTGCCGTGGTTACTAAAAAAAGAAATTTCCATAAAAAACATACAAAATTCTACTCCTACAGTTTTGGCCCGATTTCAGTATAACTTGGCACAAAAGTAGACTACACTAGGATACATAAT